TAACTTGTATGCCCAATCAGCCAGCAAGTATAAATATAAATAAATAGTCTGCCGCAGATCAGAACATTGAGTCTAGAGCATGTCTCTTACGAATACACTCATGTTTAACGATTTGTTCTTAGCTATCTGTCCAAAATTCATATAATTATCACTTACGTATTTAAATTTTTTTTGATAACCATTCATGTGTATTAGTAGTATTACTAAATTCTATCACGGTCAAGTAAAAATGAGGTTGAGAAAATCTCCCCGTAACTAAATAAACCGTATCAAACTAACTGGAACACTAGTTGGAATTCTTCTCCACGGTATACTTTTGTTCTTTCAGTTAGCCTACTAATACAAATGCAATTGGAATCAACTCATATGGACAACTTACCGGCATAATCGTTATTTGATTTCATAATTTAAACCAAAACTAATACCAATATTAACATTTCTACAATATTCATTACTTTAATATTTCTAAACACAAAATACTTACTACCTATACGTTAAGTTATTAACCAACGGCTATTAACACGCATCGTTTTATTATTATTGTAATCCCATTTTTTATAGCTCAAATAATCTTCACCCAAATTTTCATTTCAAGCGTTTTAAGCATGAAGGCAGATTTTTTAAAAATTATTACATGTATTCCCCGACCAGATGCTGCCGCCTTTTTGATTTATCTTTCAGCTTATCATTACCCGGGGGATTCTTCCTAGTCTTGGTAACCTTCGGCGGACGACAATCCCATCCAATTCGGTATCGAACCAACATCACGTTGATTCTGGTGGGAGAGTAGTGTAGTGGCATTGGACAATAACCGCACAATCCACAAAGCTGAACACGAGACTACTCAGAAAATGGATATTCAATATTTAACGCGGAGAAATACCTAACGATGGAAAAGGCGCGAACAATGAATTGAATGAATTGGAGTTGATCGAATGGCATGGCTCGGCCATGCAGGCGTGGTCCCTGCTGAATATTACCTTATATCTTTTATTCATATTAAATATATTGTTCTTTCTCTAGCCTAAGCTTGTTTTTCATCATGTATTGGTAGTTGTTACGATACAGTGAGTTGGTGTAGACGATGATGTGACTTCCACGTAAGATCTTATAGATTAGGCAGTTATATCATGACAAATCTACAATTTTAGGATTAGGTCTATTATTAGAGCAGTACTAATATCATAATAGACCATAATTCTACTACAAACCATGGATGGAATCAAAGCCACATCGCCCCGGGACATAACAACCGAGTGCAACTTGACAAAAACCTGGAAACATGCAAGTTTGCTTTCGTCCGTGTTGATGCAGTTAAAAACCCATTGAAGCAACCGCACGAAGGACCATAACAAGTAATCAAATGAACAAGCAAATACTTCGTTATCAACAAAAATGAAAACAAGGAGACAATCTCCATAGACAAAATAAAACCAGCTTTTTACGAAGTCCTTCAAGACAAAGAAGATACTACTGCACTTAACCATCCCTCCCAGTAACCACCACTAGAGCAGACGAGGAAGAAAAGCCGAGTAGCAAACCTACTTGTTTAACACGTCTAAATCAAATACTATCTACATTTATAGACTGTTTTTGGAATATATCACATCCTACGTTGGATTATATCACTAGAGAGTTCGTCAACCCGATCAGAATTACCAAGCATCTATGATTGAGGATTTACAATACCGGACCCAATCAGAACACGCAACATTTGGTGAGTTTAAGTAAAGTCCCAAATTTTTATTGTATTTGTAACAATTAACTGGTATATAATAATATTACTATTGATCTTTAGTAACTTTGTTGATACTTTTCGCGTTCATATTTGTCTGGTCCACCACAATACCAATTGTACGGGGAGGGTGTGGAGATAGGGATGGTTGTCGTGGATATCTCCACAAGGGTATTCCAAATTATTCAAATGGTTCTAGACGGAAGAGGAGAAGCTTTCGTTTAGTGAGCTTTCGTATCTAGTAGTAGTGGATCACCGATGCCTCCTGGCTGGAACCTAAGTACATTCTACGATAAGAAGGAACATATTAGTAAATTATAGTGAGTTACAGTCCTGATCCCTTAAGAATATGTCAAGTTTCCTCTTAAAGTACTCCTGCGAGGTCGCTCAAACTACTTCAGTCGGCGGCGAATTCCAGAATTCGACTACTTGTAAAGGGTGCTCACAGTCCATCGTGCCATGATGTCATGATGTTAGCCCTGAGCTTGAGTAGATAATTAATAGTATACGCAGGAGTGTTTAAGATGCTATAAGTCGTTAAAATGTCACCTCCAAGACGCCTATACTCTAATGGCTAAGGGTCTAGTAATCACAGACACTCTTCATGTCTACTTCCAATTTTCAGTGAAGTGCGTTCATCGACCTTGCACTTTACCGTTTACCTTCAGGATTCCGTGTTACGACTTGCCTCGCGATGCAGTTTGATGATCTCCATAACGTATGTCCTATCCACTTTTAACGTCTTTTCCTAATCTCCTACTCAGCTGGAAGTTGGTTTTTCCTCTTTCACGGTAGATTGTTGTTGATTGTATCCGGCCTGTTGACACTTATTCTTCCTCCTTATTCTTTCTGAACACAATGTCGAGCATGATTGCAGTTACTTCTATGTCTGACCTCGATGCTTCCTCTGGTATATTGTTAGGTCCTGCTGCCTTCCCACTTTTCATTTATTTGATGGTCATCCTAGCTTCTCCCGTCGATGGTGGAGTGACATTTATATGAAGGTCTGAAGGTGCTGCTCCAATGTCCGGTGGATTTAATGGATCTGTAGTGGCGTTGGATCATAACCACACAATCTTCAAAGCTGAACACAAAACTACTCGGAAAATGGATATTCAATATTTAACGCGGAGAAATACCTAACAATGGAGAAGGCGCGAACAATGAATTGAATGGACTGGAGTTGATCGAGTGGCATGGCTCGGCCATGCAGGCGTGGTCCCTGCTGAATATTACCTCATATCTTTTATTCATATTAAATATATTGTTCTTTCTCTAGCCTAAGCTTGTTTTTCATCATGTACTGGTAGTTGTTACGATACAGTAAGTTGCTGTAGACGATGATGTGACTTCCACGTAAGATCTTATAGATTAGGCAGTTATATCATGACAAATCTACAAAATTTAGGATTAGGTCTATTATTAGAGCAGTACTAATATCATAATAGACCATAATTCTACAGATCTAGGACCAGTGAGGCATATCTATTCAAGACTTTATCAAAGTGTTCTACCCATCCGTTCCTTGAATCTCAGAGATTGACTTACCTTATTTACCCTTGATTGGTCATTCTGGTTTACTATATATCTCTGGTGATTTCTCCGTTGTGTCATATAGTTTTTTCATATTTACTTCTCTTGCAGCTATTTCTGCTGGCGTTGCTAGGTTTTTTTATTGTCGGCTCTAATGTTTCTCTACACTTTCATAATTGCTTCCGTGTATTTAGCTTGTGCCTTGATTTTCTCTGTTCTTGTTTGGCTGTTGTTGATTACTGTCTTTTTGTCCTTCCCTTCTTGAATCTTGTGAAGGGTTTCTATAGAGATCCGTTCCTTATGATGATGCTTCTTGCGGCCCAGCACCTCCTGACACGTTGAAATTATTACATCTTTGGTACCTTTCCAGTTGTCCTCCATGGTGGTTTCTCCTTCTTTCAGTGGATACTGTAAGGCTTGGACCCGTTTTTGAGAGTTATCTTGAATTCGTCGAGTTTGTCAGTATTTCAAAGGAAGATTGTGTTGAACCTTTGTAATCCTGTTCTCCCGGTTGTCCAGTGTCACATCTTGGCCAGAACCGGGTGTTGATCTGAAGCTATTTCAGCTCCTCTCCTGGTTCTCACGTCTTCCGCCAGGACGATCAGGTCTTTTCCTGGGTATTTCTCTATTATCGATAGCATCCTCTCATTAAACTGATCTATATCATCGTCGCTGCTATCATCAGTAGGTGTATAACATTTCATAACATTCATCGTGATTCCCTTCTTTCTTTTGAAGGATGATTTGATAGACCTAGGTCCACGAGATTGCAATCCTGTGAGTGCATTACGTGCTTCTCTGGACAGCACTAGAGTAACTCCCTGAGTGTGTGGAGCATTTCCCCCCTCGTCACCAGAGTACAGCCGAATCTCTCCCTATTCAGCCTTAGCTGTCCAACTTGGGTTCGATGGGTTTCGCTGATTCCGAACACTGCCAAGTTGTATTTTCTCGTTTCGGTTGCTACTTACTGGTCCTCCCTGTCCCTCACATTGTCCGGATATTCTACGTACCTGTAGAAATTGTTGCTCTGATTGTCAGAAGGGGCATCGTCCTCACGAATTCCGAAGAATCTCTGTTTGAACACTGAGGCGTCATAGTTCTCCCTTGAACTCACAGGAGAGAGTTTAAATGGTTTAATTTGTTAATTCTGGTCAGAGTTTTTTTAATAAGGATGGTTTCTTCGGAATGGGGTCCAGTTAAACCTATTTTCACTCGACAGCAGTCAACTGATGCTTTCGTCTTACCCACCTAATGACTTCGTGCCAACGATTTTGAGTTTTGCAATACCTTACGCCAACCCCTAGAAAACCGATATGAAGGAGCATTCAAATTCCTTCATCGTAAACCTATGTATTATATTATCGATAAGAACGGAACTAACGATAACATAATATTTCATAAGTCTCTCTTTTTTATCAAACGATCAGTAGCTGAACTTTCACTCACAGGCGAGTTGTTACCAGACAACACTAAGTATAAATTGAATCTCCACAGCAATACTTGCAGTAGCGATTAAGTAGGTTGACCGTCCTATTACATCAAAATTACTAACAACCGGAACTCTTCAGAGAACCATGAAGTTACAACTGTTCTTATAGACACGAACAAGAATAATACCAAGTGAGATATCTTTTTCATCTGGACTACACAGCCCTCTACTCTTAAGTTGAGGATTGATGGGAACAATTTGGAGATTGAACGGACGTCGCAGCGGTGTTTCGGGTTTTGCGTTATGGCTAAGTTTGGAGCCAAGGTTAGGGAACTGCGATTTCTCGTTGCCCAGACTTCTCCTTCGAGCTCTGGAATTAGGTTTGTCAACTGCAGTTTTGTCCAAAACCCATCTTTATTTTCCGGGCATTTTCATCCGCTGATTTGATTTTTCATCGATTAGATAGATTTATGTGGTCGAGGAACTTTACATTTAAATGTAAAGTTCCATACTTGAGTAAGTAGAGTTTAGTCACCTTTCCGCAATAACCGAACTTCTTGTTCACGTTGATAATTGAAGCAGCAATTCGGTTACGCTTACATGTTAAAGCAGTCGAAAATCCGGAGTATGAGTTCGGTTTGAATAGTGAAAAGACTTTCATATATTTGTAAATTTTTTGCAAATCTGCCTGTACCTTGGTTTTCTTTACCGCTATGATCATTTAGGCCAGTTTGTGAGTACATACTAATTAGAAATGAATCGCTAACATTCGTCTTATCATCCTAGTTCTTTGGTTTAGATTGGCTACGTACTTTACTACCACTTTTACAAAATAGTGCATATTATAACACAATATCTCAAAATGGCCACTTTCGCGTTGTAGAAAGTGAGTTGTGAGTTCTTCCTTAAATATACCATTGACTCATTCTTGAGAGGAACCCGAAGATCATAGTGTACTATTTTTATATCCACTTAAATCCGGAGATGTAATTGTATAGTATAATCGTAGGAATCCCAAACTATGTGTCAGAAATAACAAAATTTTGTCGGTTATCTTAGTAATAGTTAATCGCGATATGGTCTTTTTGTTAACAGTATTGTGTTGGTGTGAGTGTTGTCAGTCAGCTACAACGTAGGACCAAGCACATATATGCATCGGTCCAAGTTGCCATACCTCATTAACACAAAAAGATGGACACCGCATTCATAAAAGTAGTGAATTCAGAGGGGTAATATATAAAAGAAAGATTGCATATAAGGATATAGTACAGGAAGAAAGAATTAGTTGGTAGAAAGAAAGATGTGAAGCGATTTTAATCTCTTGGTTTAAGGGAAGACAGAGAGTGTATACACCAACGCCATTGTGATCGATTCTGAGCCATGTCACCAAGAGTCTCCAACCATTGGTTACGAAAGTCACGCGGACCCCAACCAAGTAGTCTGCATCTACCAACATGACTCAGACTAGAAGTTAGTGACTTCAAGCACTGATGCCACGTTTTTGTTTGGCCACCCCTAACTTTCTTCCAACCATCCCGAACACCGGTTAGCATTGCACGTCGTGGTAATCGGTGTTCGGGCATACGTAACACGTGGCCCAACCATCTCAGTCGATGAAGATTCACAACCTCATCAACTGATTTACCATCATTTCCTAATACCCTGTGTCTAACCTCAGTATTACTTACCCGGTGATCCCAGCAGATGCCAGCAATATTTCTAAGGCAGCTGTGGTCAAATACTAGTAGCTTACGAGTGTCTTCTACTCTTAATGGCCATGTTTCGCTGCCGTAAATTAAAACAGAACGGACTGCCGCGCAGTATACTCGTCCTTTTATTGATAGACGGATACCTCGCCTTCGCCATAGGTGACGTAAGTTGGCAAAAGCCAAGCGAGCTTTTCGAATCCGTGCTGAGATTTCGTCAGACGCCAACCCATTAGGGCTGATCAGACTTCCAAGATAAGTGAAGTTGTCAACGCGTTCGACTACTTCACTCCCTATCCTTAGTTCAGGTGTTGACGCAGACCAGTCCTGAAGCAACAACTTGCATTTAGAGGGAGAGGAGCGCATTCCAAACATTCTGGCATTGTTGCTTAGTGCTACCAAAAGACTGCATTTTATCAGCGTTTTCACCAAACAGAACTATGTCATCTGTTTATTCTAAGTCGATAAGTGGACCTCCTGGAAGGAGATCAATACCCGAGAATTCAGTAGACGAGAATGTTATTTCCATCAATAGGTCTATGATGAAGTTAAACAAAAATGGAGAAAGTGGACAGCCTTGACAGACACCACTTGAGGTTGCAAAAGCAGATGACAGTTCGCCATAAGCTCTGACTCGACTGGTAGTGTTCGAGTAGAGAGCGTTAGCTAGATTTTAATTGTAGTTTCCAAGTAAATAACATTAAAACACTAAAGACCACTAGTTTAAGGTGTGGGTGATTATCCTAACCAGTGTTTAGGGACTTTAGGTGATATGGTCTAAAATTTTCCACAAGGGCGCAGATATATTCATTTAATCTTTCCTAAGTTTCCAGACCTCAAAGTTTTGTTATATCTCTATTTTCTCCTACACCTAGTCTTTTCTGCTACCATTCGTACTATTACTACTTTTACTTCTCTGGGGTTCGTCATAATAAATATAGCTTGCGGTGGTAATGAGGTGCGAGAAATTGAACCAACACACGTATGTGTTATGTTCTACATTACATATAAATGATAACTTTCATTCGTACGTATGATGGATTATCAATTTTAAGCTTTCAGAAAATCAAGTCTGATTGCTACCACAACACACTAATATTAATGAACTTGGTATAAATTTATATTGGAAATCGACAATTCAGCTAACGGATTATTATGCGTCGTCTTTCACTGTGTCTAATCCTCCCTACAACCGTGAAGTGTTAGATTGGATAACAATCCACAGTATATCCTCGTCAGTCATGTGGTCTGTTTATCTAAGCCATCTTGATTCTACGCATAATTAACTAGAAAATTCATTCAATCGTATTTACTGACGGTTTTAAACCGTGCGAAGTTATTGTTCCCCTATCAATGACTGCTTTATTTGAGTGTCAAGGTTCTTTGTAGCGTTGGCTTGTTACGGGTGCGCAGATATATTCATACTCTTATTATAGAAAATGTCAACAGTAAAACCATAAACTGCGTTTTGTACATTCCTTCAGTGATATACTGAGATACTATATTATCCAATAATAAAGTCGTCCATCTCATTGATCATAGCTATTATTATCCTCTGAAGTATGTTGATCACCGCTACACAAAAATGTTGTTCGTTAGGCTAATTTCACACAAACCATAAGAGCTATATCTGTCTAAAATATATGAATATATTTCTTATGGAATCGATTTTATAGGACAATAAAATCATTTTTATAAGTTGCCAAGGTTTATTTAAATAATCTACAGTTCTAATTTTTCTGTAAAATTACAGGGATTTTATTTCACGTCACTATCTGTCTCTAAAAACTGCTAATCCTCATGTGAAGTTTATGATTCGTGAATCAGAAGGGATCACACCAAAAGTGTTCGCTCGTTATGGTTAGTTTAACTAATTTTTTAATGTTTACTTTCTTATCATAGAGATGGGAAGGAAGACTGCATTTCAGTGGCAAATAACACAGCTGATGATATAATTTCGAAACTTAAGACTCTAGATCGAGTATAAAAATTTTTTTTTGTAACGATTCTACGTAAATTAGTTTATAATTAATAAATTTGAGAATAAATAGCATTGTTGACAGCTTTATTCGTTTCTGTCAGCGAAAGAAATATTTAACTCGTTGAAATATAAATCAATTATCGGTGAACTTATGTTTTAAAACTCAAGGGGTTCGTGAATCTAAAGTTCTAACCCCAGATTAGTTCACTGGAAAAAACGGCAAAATATTTTTCAAGGAATAGATGTAGCGGGTTAACATCCTCGCACAATAGGGGATCGTTTCTGATTGCTTAATTTATCAGCAAATCGCATGAAAAATCTATTACGAGGAATATTCTTCACGTTTCAGATTAAACAAATGGTGGTAGGCTGTCACATGAAGATGTTGGATGTATTTTAGCTGTAAGTCGTTCACAACTCCATGGATCTCTTGGAAATTGCCATATGGAAGTATCAAATATGTTGAGTATTGAGTTATAATCGCGCTGATATTTACGATGGGAATCGCATTTATGGTGAAGTAACACTAGATTAATTGTTTCTGTTTTTTTTCTTTTACAAGGAATTCAAGGTAAATATATGTATGGAAAATTTAAATTATTCTCATAAAACTGATGATGGCTTTTGGGAAATTCTGAGTTCCTGTTAGGTTTTTCGTGACTTCAGGTGAATCAGTAGACTGAAATGGACTTAATTTTTGCAATATGTTCATTTGTAAAACTGCTAACAAGTTTACGTATATTGACTACTTTTCAACAAGGGGTGATAACTGTGTTACATATAGTCTAATGACCATTCTCAAAGTACTAGATCAACGTTGCTTATCGCATGTATGCTACTTATAAGATTTTAGTATGGGTCTTTTATCCGTAACTCGTTTTCCCTTAGAAAAAGTTCATATTTCATTGTTTTTAGGTATACTACTTATTGTACAACTCAAGTGTCTGTAATCAAAAGTCTTCGAAATCGCAGTGTTTAAGGTTCGTTTGTAAGACTAATTCATGGACCCCCCTTGAGCGGGGCTAATATGAGCTTGAAAAATGTCGTCTGCTTACTAGGATTAAAAAGAGCTATAAATTAGTGTAATAAATCAGAATCGGGATCTAGAATTAGAAGTTAGGATTAGGAATTAGAGTAAGTGTTAGGATAGTCGGAAAAATATACCAATAATTATCGTGTTAAGTCTATGGTGGCCTTGGACCTTAAGTGTACATTCCCCATTGGTCGATGTTTATTTCACTTGTTAAATATTTTGTAAATGTTGTTTCCTATTTTATGGTACGATGTGGTTTGTTTGTTTGGTATATAAATAGAGTGTGTCTGAACTACAATGATTCATAACCCAGAGGCTGTGACTTGGGTTCTTGACTCAACTGGCTGGGACAGACAGCGAAGCAGGGCCAATCAGGGCACTAGGTCGTCCACTACGTGTTTTCCGTGTTACTGTGATCGATCGATAAAACGCTGCTCATCAAAACCTGCAGTCTCTCACACGTTACAACAGTAAGCATTTTCATCACGAACTGACATCATCTACAACGCTAGAATGCTATTTAGCCATATAAATGAATGGATTTCGCGCCAAAATTCAAGACTCATCATCATAAATGTGATTGGTTCGTCGAGAAATTATAGTCTCGTCGTTGGCAAATGCTCTATATTATCATGAATTACGAGCTTCATGTATTAAGTCCTGTCTTTACTACCTTGACATCTAAGTCATTTGTATAGATCAGATATTCACGCCAGGTTCTAGAACACAGACACACATTCAGACGCCCCACAATAATAGGATTTCTCGACCTTAAGGCGGCATTCGACTCTGTTGATCGTGAGGTTCTATGACAGTGTTTGTCACTGAAAGGAGTACCAAAGAAGTACATTAACCTTATGAAGGCTCTCTACTCGAACACAACTGGTCGAGTGAGAGCTTATGGCGAACTGTCATCAGAATTGATTACCTCAAGTGGTGTCCGTCGAGGCTGTCCACTCTCTCCATTCTTGTTCAACTTTGTCGTCGACGTACTTTTAGAAATGACACTTTCCTCGTCTAGATTTCCAGGGGTTGAACTTCTACCGGGAGGTTCACTTGTTGACTTAGAATATACTGATGACATAGTTTTATTTGGTGAAGACGCTGACAAAATGCAGTCTTCTGACCACTCTAAGCAACAATGCAAGCATATTCGGGATGCGATTCTCCCCCTCAAAATGTTGCTTCAGGATTGGGTTACATCGACACCCGAACTAGTGATACGGACTGAAGTAGTTGAGTGTGTCGACCGCTTCACTTATCTTGGAAGTCTCATCAGCCCTTGTGGTCTGGTGTGTGACGAAATCTCAGCACGGATACAGAAGGCTCGACTAGCTTTTGCCAACTTGCGTCATTTATGGCGTAGGCGAGATATCCGTCTATCAACCAAAGGACGGGTTTACTGCGCAGCAGTTCGTCCCGTCCTACTTTATGGCAGTGAAACATGGCCGGTAAGAGTAGAGGATATTCATAGGCTACTATTATTCGATCATAGGTGTCTTCGAAACATTGTTCGTATATCGTGGGAGCATCGAGTAAGCAACACAGTTGTTAGGAAACGGATACTAGTTAAGGATGGCAAATCAATTGATGAAGTAGTGAAACTTCATCAGTTGAGATGGCTGGGACACGTTACGTATGCCCAACCACCGACTGCCTCGACGTGCTATGTTCAGTGGTATAGGAGTAGGTTGGAAGAAAGCTAGTGGCGGCCAGACCAAAACATGGCACAAATCCATGAAGTCACTGACAAGTGGACTGAGTCATGTCGGTAGGTGTAGACTACCTGGTTGGGGACCACGAGATGAAAGCAACCGATGGTTAGAGACCTTGAATGACATGGCTCAAAATCGTTTGCAATGGCACATGTGCATCCACTCTTTGTGTTCTCCCAAATTCTAATCTTCTGAATTCTTCATGTCCCTTTCTTTTTTTCTCTTTCCAAATTTATTTCACTGGATTATACTCCTTGAATAACATCCTCAAACCCTAATTTTTCTGATTGCAGATTATAATCTTGCTACATCTAGCACTACGGGATTTGAATCGACCACTGCATCTCTGTGCTAATATTGTGTGGCAACTCGAACTGATGTACGTACGTACGAAGTTCTACGTTGGGACTGACTGATATTCTCTTATAGTACTTGTTAATATTCAGTAGTCAGTTTCATTTTTAGTAATTTCTGAACGTATAGTGTAACGTTTATTTGTAATATTCTTGTGTATCTACATAAACCCAAAACATTTACTGTATTTATTATTGCAATCACATTCTCTCAATCATTGTAACATTTGTTCCCGGTTTCTGTTTATCTCTTGAATCTTTTAACGCGACAGTTTCTATATTTGTGTGCTTCGTTGGAATTAACAGGTTTATATATTTATTTGGTCTTTATTATTTATTTGAACAGTAATTTCTTATAATAAGTAACACACTTTTTAACGATTGTGGAATTCATGTATGATGATCATCTGCAGTTACAGACAATCACACTTGATGCATTATGAATACTTAATAGAACACTAAAGGAAAATTTTATATGATCGTTTGTAATTTCGTTTTTGTGCCGTATTTATTTTGCCTTAATCCATCAATCTAACACAAATCTCTGTGATGATCGACCTTTGTAATTTCAAATCAGAGAATGTTTGACATCAAGCAAATTTTGTTATGTTGGATTTAATGTGTCGATTTGAATGTGTTTTGCTTTACCAAAGTTTTCTGAACTGACTTTTGTCCAGATTCATCGAAACTCGTGATGATGATTTTAAAATACGTGTAGTATGAGAAAAGGAACATGAATCGATGAACTTTTGTAAAAAACTTAACGACCATTCTTCTACGTAACAATTTCACTACATGCTTATCATGAATAGACAACAGTTTGTAATGATGAATAACTCCCCCGTCCCGAGAAAATGGTCTCGTAAACATTTGTCGTCGATTATGACCTGGTTGATCTTAATGGACACTGGCAAACCTTCAGTCAAACATCACCACCAAATGGGTATAAACCCCACTATGAAACCCTTCTGCCATAGGTAGCCAGTTTAGAAATCTCACGTTATGTTAGCTCTACGTAAAATCAAACCCTAATTTCCTCTCAACCATAATCTCTTCCCTTGTTTGCCTTCAGGTAAAACTACAGAAATATACTTGTATCATAGTTGTGTCTGACTTTTTGTATCCAGTGTGCTTTTAGCTTAAAAGGAGATAGTTGGAAATCTCTCGCAACCCTGGTAGATCCTATTTTTCATCATTCAATTACGTATTATCTTATTTCACACTAGCGATAACAACTTGCCTTTTTATTGGCTACTCTTGAGTTTCACTCGTCTTACTATGCTACTCTATCAGATTTTATGGTTAGTATTGCGTAACTTGGACATGAATTTTCATTTTCTAGAAACGTGTCTCCAGGTGTTTTAAATTTTCCTCATAGAATTCTCACATAAATGTTCATACACTTTACCACTTTATGATACCGAAGCTCTTGTTGATTGGGCCATAGACTTCTCGGTGAGCCAACATCGTTTACTAACACTAAGTCTCCCGAAGACTCATCCATCAATACCTTATGAAACAATAGTGATCGCAGAATTCTTCTTATCGACTTTATAATGCGTCCCCATACACTGCCTCGTTGACTAGCCCTCGGTAGTTTAAAGCGCCATTCACAACCTCTCTCTAAAAGGGCATTTACTGTCTTACTCTGGTTCCAACTACATATAATCTGTCTAAGAATAGCATTGGCTTCTGTACAACTACCAGATGCACCCTTACTCTTGTTCACAACTCGTACAAGGGCGCCTTTCTCAACACCATCCTCGATACCACGGCGAATATGTGCTACCTGCTTCTTCAGGGTCTTAGTTACTGGCTTCTTCGTTACAGTGGCCTTCGGCCTTTTCGTAGTCTTGACTTTCAGTTTGGTGTC